TGGATGGATGGATGATGGATGATGGATGGATGGATGGATGATGGATGGATGGATGGATGGATGGATGGATGGATGGATGGATGGATGGATGGATGATGGATGATGGATGGATGATGGATGGATGGATGATGGATGGATGGATGGATGGATGGATGGATGGATGGATGGATGGATGGATAATTGATGTAGGCCAGATTAAGAAGTGATGGATGAATGGAGGGATGATGGATGATGGATGAATTTCCATATCATCCAAGAACTCAGCCAATGACCGATGTCACCCCTGGTGCCACCTGCACTACGAGTGGCTCCCACATTCCAGGTGGGAAGAGCCATCCCGTGAAACCGCTGGACAGCCACCAATGTCCCCAAGGGCATGGCAGCCACCGGGACCACACTGGACACCCCGTGCCAGGACAAGTGACACCCCAACGTCCCTGTCCCACACGGGTGTCCCCGTGGCTGCCGAGGGGGAGAAGAAAAACTCCCCAAAATTCCTGTCGGGGGGGAAGGGAAGCGGGAGAGCTTCGGGAGGGAGCGGGAACGGGAATAAAAGGCCGGATGGTCACTTTGGGAAGAAAGGGGACAAAAGGCCAGGAGGACGCTCCCGGTGTGCCGGCCCCTCCGCAGGCTGAATGGGCGAGCAGCAGGAACCCGCCTCATTGGGGAAGGGCAGAGAAGGCTAATTAGTTAATTAGCAGTGGGGCTGGGAGAGCCTCGTGGGGCTCAGCAAGGCCAAGGGCGGGAGAAGCTGGTGGGGCACAAATCCAGGCTGGAGGAGGTGATGTTGGAAAGGTGGGAATTCCATCCCTGTGGGACGCCGCCTGCAGAGCTGCTCCAGCTCCTGGATCCCAAATTCAGGCGGGTGTGGAGCTGCTGGAGGAAATCCAGAGCAGATTCCAGAGTTGTTCTCAGGGCTGGAGCCCCTCTGGAGCCAGGCTGGGAGAGCTGGGAATGTTCCCCTGGAGAAGGGAAAATTCCAGGGAATGCTCAGAGTGCCTGGAGGGGCTCCAGGAGAGCTGGAGAGGGACTGGGGACAAGAGACAGAGGGACAGGAGCCAGGGAATGGCTCCCACTGGGAAAGGGGAGCTTGGGCTGGGATCTTGGCAAGGAATTCCTGGCTGGGATGGAATTCCCAGAGAATTCCCAGGAATTCCCAGCTGTGGCCGCCCTTGGATCCCTGGCAGTGCCCAGGGCCAGGTTGGACACTGGGATTGGATCCACCTGGGACAGTGGGAGGTGCCGGGGTTGGAATCCCTGAGCTTGAAGGTCCTTCCCACCCCAGACCAGTCTGGAATTCCGTAATTCCAATTGCTGAAATCCCGGGATCGCTGGCACCACCCCGGCCGAGGCAAGGGGACACCGAGGGTCCCGCTGTGCCACCGGGGTGACCCCACAGAGCCCCGTGGGGTGTCCCCGGTGGGAGTGGGCTGTGAGAAGCGGGAGCCATCCCTAGGGATGCGCTCCCGGGGGCTGTCCCAGCCGGGGGGACAATGCCACCGTCGGCACGGGGACATCCCGGGACTCCGATCCCGTTAGGATCAGTGGGAATGAGGGTGAGGAGAGGGGCAGGGCTGGAAGGGCCGGGGGGGCAGCGGGGCCGGGGCCGCGCTCGGGAGGATCGAGGCCCGGCTTTGGGCCGGGTCAGCTCCCCAAACCTGCGCCCGCCGGGCCGATCCCAATCCCGGAGTTCCCGGGAGATGATCCCAATCCCGGAGTTCCCGGGAGATGATCCCAGTCCCGGAGTTCCCGGGAGATGATCCCAATCCCGGAGTTCCCGGGAGATGATCCCAATCCCGGAGTTCCCGGGAGATGATTCCAATCCCGGAGTTCCCGGGAGCCGATCCCAGTCCCGGCACTCCCGGGAGCTGATCCAAATCCTGGTGATTCCCAGAGCCAATCCCAGTCCCAGCAATCCCAGGAGCCAATCCCGGTCCCGGCACTCCGGTGAACCGAGTCAAATCCCGGCATTCCCAGGATCCAATCCCAATATCGGAATTCCCAGCATTTGATCCCAATCCCAGAATTCCCAGGATCTGATCCAATCCTTGTCATTCCCAGGAGCCGATCCTAATTCCATTATTCCCAGGACCTGATCCCAATCCTGGCATTCCCAGGATTCCATCCCAATCCCATTATTCCCAGGATCCCATCCCAGCTCTGGAATTCCCAGGACCTGATCCCAGTCCTGGCATTCCCAGGACCTGATCCCAATCCTGGAATTCCTACAGTCCGATCCCAATCCCATAATTCCCAGGATCTGATCCCAATCCTGGCATTCCCAGGATCCCATCCCAACCCCAGCATTCCCAGGATCCCATCCCAGTCCTGGAATTCACAGGATTTGATCCCAATCCCGGAATTCCCAGCATCCAATCCCTATCCGGAAATCTTCAGGATCCCATCCCAATCTCAGGATCTGATCCCAACCAATCCCATCATTCCCAGGATCCCATCCCAATCCCAGGATCAGATCCCAATCCTGGCATTCCCAGCATCTGATCCCAATCCCATAATTTTCAGGATTCCATCCCAATCCCATTATTCTCAGGTTTCCCATCCCAATCCTGGAATTCCCGGGATCCCAATCCCGCCATTCCCAGGTTCCCATCCCAATCCCGGAATTCCCGGGATCCCAATCCCGCCATTCCCAGGTTCCCATCCCAATCCCGGAATTCCCGGGATCCGCTGCCTCTCCCTGTGTCCCCACCCAGCTTCACGCCCGTTTGTCACCCTTGTCCCCTGTCCCCGTTTGTCACCCTTGTCCCGGGGTTGTCCCCGCGAGGTCACACCCGCAGCACCCCCCTTGTGTCACCCCCGCTGTGTCCCCAGGGCCACCAGGGTCCCCCCAGCACCGCGGGGACTTTGGGATCCTCGGGCAAGGCGTGGCAGGGAGGTGACAACGGGACATCTCCCTGGTGGCACCCCAGCGGTGACATCCCTGTGGTGGGGACACCTCCGGGAGGTGACACTGGGACATCTCCCTGGTGGCAACCCAGCGGTGACATCCCTCTGGTGGGGACACCTCCGGGAGGTGACACTGGGACACCTCCCTGGTGGCACCCCTAGAGGTGACATCCCTGTGGTGGGGACACCTCCGGGAGGTGACACTGGGACACCTCCCTGGTGGCACCCCAGCGGTGACATCCCTGTGGTGGGGACACCTCCGGGAGGTGACACAACCCCTGAGTGCCAGGAAGCCACCGCTGAGTGACATTTCCTGCAGGACACGGTGTCCAGCTGGGCCACCGCTGGTCACTGGGGTTGTCACCGGGACAGGGACACGGGAAGGGACAGGGTGGCGGGGTGTCACCCCCCGGGTGGCCCCGTGGCTCTGACAGTGTCCCCTGCCCCAGCCTACAGGACCGTGTGCGGTGTCAACGGGCCACTGGTGGTGCTGGACAACGTCAAGGTAGGACCTTGGGGTGACATGGGGACAGCGTGGCGGTGGCACCTGGGGCTGTGTGGGGACCCCAGTGCTGAGGGGGCGATGGAGGGAGTGTGTCCCTTGTTCCCTGTCACCTGTCCCCTGTCCCCTCCCTCCTGTCCCCTGGGCTGTCCCCTGTCCCTGTGCCATCCTCCTGTCCCTGTCCCCTCGTCTGTCCCCTGTCCCTGTCCCCTCCCTCCTGTCCCCTGGGCTGTCCCCTGTCCCTGTCCCCTGGGCTGTCCCCTGGGCTGTCCCCTGTCCCTGTGCCATCCTCCTGTCCCCTGGGCTGTCCCCTGTCCCTGTCCCATCCCTCCTGTCCCTTGTCCCCTGGGCTGTCCCCTGTCCCTGTCCCATCCCTCCTGTCCCTGTCCCCTGGGCTGTCCCCTGTCCCTGTCCCCTCCCTCCTGTCCCCTGGGCTGTCCCCTGGGCTGTCCCCTCCTCTCTGGGGTCCGAGCTCCCTCCTCTGGACACGCTCGGCAGCAGAGCCCTGTCCCCGCCTGTCCCCGCGTCCCCCTGTCCCCGCGCGGGTGGCGTGTCCGCCGACACTGGGGACACGCGGGACACTGCGTGGGACACTGCGTGGGACACTGCGTGGGACACTGCGTGGGACATGCGTGCGCTCGGTCCGGGCACCCTGTCCCCCATTGTCCCGTGTCCCTGCCCGAGCTCAGCCCCTGTCCCCTGCGTCCTTGTGCCCTGTCCCTTGTGTCCCTGGCCAAGCTCTGTCCCCATCCCCTGTCCCCTGTCATCTGTCCCCCATCCCCTGTCCCCTGTCCCAGCTCTGTCCCCTGTCCCCCATCCCCTGTCCCCTGTCCCAGCTCTGTCCCCTGTCCCCCATCCCCTGTCCCCTGTCCCAGCTCTGTCCCCTGTCCCAGCTCTGTCCCTTGTCCCCTGTCCCAGCTCTGTCCCTTGTCCCCTGTCCCAGCTCTGTCCCCTGTCCCCCATCCCCTGTCCCCTTTCCCAGCTCTGTCCCCTGTCCCTTGTCCCCTTTCCCAGCTCTGTCCCCTGTCCTCTGTCCCAGCTCTGTCCCCATCCCCTGTCCCAGCTCTGTCCCCTGTCCCTTGTCCCAGCTCTGTCCCTTGCCTCCCATCCCCTGTCCCCTGTTCCAGCTCTGTCCCCTGTCCCAGCTCTGTCCATGTCCCCAGCGCCACCTCCCGCAGGGACCCTGCTCTGAGCGGGGCCACTCCACAACCCCCGTGTCCCCTCGCTGTCACCCTCCCTGTCCCCGCTCCCGCTCTCCTGGCTGGGCTGGCGCCACCCGGGTGACATCCGGGGGGGTTTTGTCACGCGGTGTCGCGTTGCCACGTGGCCCTGTCATTTATTAATTAATCAGCTCAATTAAAGAAGGAGAAGGAGGAGGAGAGCCCTGAGCGTGCTGGGCAGCAGCGACATCGGCCATTGTCGCCAGAGCAGGAAGTGTCCCCTCAACACAAACGTCCCCTCCGTGTGCCCCGCGGTGTCCCCACGAGTGCCACGAGTGCCACTCGTGCCCGTGGCCCCAGCCTCGGTGACGGTGGCAGCCTGGTGGCTCTGGCTGTGACAAATCCCCTCGACATCGGGGAAACTGAGGCACGGAGCAGTGCCACAGCCCGGGGCCAGCTCCAGGATGCGACAGTGACAATGACAGCCAGGGCCACCCCTTTGCTGCGCGGTGTCCCCCCACTCCCCCTCAGCCTTTGGTGGCTTCAGGGGAAACTGAGGCAGCAGCAGCGGAGCAGGCGGGGCTGGGGGGGACAGGGGCGGGCTGAGGGGACAGAGGGGACACTGCCACCCCATTTGCCCGTGTCGCTGTCCCCACAGTTCGCCCAGTACGCCGAGATCGTGAACTTCACGCTGCCCAACGGCACCACCCGCAGCGGGCAGGTGCTGGAGGTGATGGGCGCCAAGGCCGTGGTCCAGGTGAGCGCGGGGACACGGCGACACCGCGGGGACACGGCGACACCGCGGGGACACGGCGACACCGCCACACGGCGACACCGCCACGCGGGGACACGCGGGGGCTGCGTGGCCCGGGGCCCGGGGTCCCTTTCCCAGGGTCTGTCCCCAGTCCCTGTCCCCAGAGCTCTGTCCCCTGTCCCGGGTCCCTGTCCCCGGAGTTCTGTCCCCGCTCCCTGTCCTAGGGTCTGTCCCCAGTCCCTGTCCCCAGAGCTCTGTCCCCTGTCCCTGTCCCGGGTCCCTGTCCCTGGGTCTGTCCCGGGTCCCTGTCCCCGGTCCTGTCCCGAGTCCTTGTCCCCGGTCCCTGTCCCCGGGTCCCTGTCCCAGGGTCTGTCCCGGGTCCTTGTCCCATGTCCCTTTCTCGGATCCTTGTCCCCGGAGCTCTGTCCCCGGTCCCTTTCCCGGGTCTGTCCCCGGTCCCTGTCCCCGGTCCCCTGTCCGGGCTCTGTCCCGGGGCTCTGTCCCCGGAGCTCTGTCCGGTCCCAGTCCCCGGTCCCTGTCCCGGGTCCCCGGTCCCTGTCCCGGTCCCTGTCCGGGCTCTGTCCCGGGGCTCTGTCCCCCTCCAGTGGTGGCTGTCGGGCTCGTGTCCCTGCGCTCTCTAGAGGTGGACAGTGTCCTGGGATGGGACACGGGACATGGGACAGTGTCCTGGGATGGGACACGGGACATGGGACAGTGTCCTGGGATGGGCAGGGTTGTCCTGGAGTGTCCTGGAGTGTCCTGGTGTGGTCTGGATTGTCCTGGGACAAGTCATGTCCCCCTCCCGTGACCCCCCCTCCACCCCAGGACCACATTGCCACCCCCCAAAGCCACCAGCCCTGGGACCACCGGGGTGTCCACAAAGCCACCAGCCCTGGGACCGCCGGGGTGTCAGGGTGTCCCCAAAGCCACCAGCCCTGGGACCGCCGGGGTGTCCCCAAAGCCACCAGCCCTGGGACAGCCGGGGTGTCAGGGTGNGCCGGGGTGTCAGGGTGTCCCCAAAGCCACCAGCCCTGGGACCGCCGGGGTGTCCCCAAAGCCACCAGCCCTGGGACAGCCGGGGTGTCAGGGTGTCCCCAAAGCCACCAGCCCTGGGACAGCAAGGACCACCGGGGTGTCCCCAAAGCCACCAGCCCTGGGACAGCCGGGGTGTCAGGGTGTCCCCAAAGCCACCAGCCCTGGGACCGCCGGGGTGTCCCCAAAGCCACCAGCCCTGGGACAGCCGGGNGCCCTGGGACAGCCGGGGTGTCAGGGTGTCCCCAAAGCCACCAGCCCTGGGACCGCCGGGGTGTCCCCAAAGCCACCAGCCCTGGGACAGCCGGGATGTCCCCAGAGCCGCGAGCCCCGGGGCTGTTTGGGGTCAAACCCCTCCTAATTAGCCCGGATCCCCCCCAGGTGGCCCCGCGGGGGCTCGGGGGGTCCCGCAGCTGCCCCAAAGTCGCCGCTCTGATGCCACCTGCGCCTCGGGGATGCCCTTTTAATCCTATTAGAGAGCCCGGCTCGGGCAGGGGGGAAAAGGGGGAGAACGGGATGAAAGGAAGGGAAAAAAAGGAGAAAATGGGATTTTTGCAGCCTCAGCCTTGTTGGGGGTGACCCGCAGCCCCCGCACCCACCTTTGGGGGGGCTCCCAGTGTCACCTGCCACCGTCCCCACATCCCCCTGCTCCCAGCGGCCACCTGGCTCTAATTAAAGCGGCGAGCCGGGGGTTCATTAACGCAAATGATGTCAAATATTATCGGGATCAAAAGGCTTTCCCCGCGGGTGCGGCATTCACCGTCCATCCCCCCAAAAAAAAATCCCCCCGAAGCCCCTCAAGAGAGGTTTTTAACCCCAAACTTTGTCCCTTCTTTTATGTCCCCTCCCAGGAGGGGGTTTGGGGTGAGCGGGGGTCACGTCACGCTCCTCAAAGCCTTAATTAATCCTCGTTAATTGCTCTCCCCGGGCACTCCGCAGGTGTTTGAGGGCACGTCGGGCATCGATGCCAAGGCGACAACCTGCGAGTTCACGGGGGACATCCTGCGCACGCCGGTGTCCGAGGACATGCTGGGTGAGCCCGGGCACGGCTGGCACCGAAATTTGGGGGGTTTGGGGCTTCGGGGTTCAGCTCTGCGGCTGAGAACGTCCCTGGGTCACCTCCGAGCTGCGACAGTCACCTGGGACGGGGCTGGCCCCGTCCGCGCCTCCTCTGGGCGCGGAAGGGTGAGGTGAGGTGGCAGCTGGAGGTGTCACCCTGTCCCTGGAAGTGTCACCCTATTCCTGGAGGTGTCACCCCGTCCCTGGCAGTGTCACCCTGTCCCTGGCGGTGTCACCCTGTCCCTGGAAGTGTCATCCCATCCCTTGAAAACGTCGCCCCGTCCCTGGCAGTGTCACCCCACTCCTGGTGGTGTCACCCAATTCCTGGAGGTGTCACCCACTCCTGGCAGGTCACCGCTTTAATTCCTGGTGGTGTCACCCCGTCCCTGGCAGTGTCACCCCACCCCTGGTGGTGTCACCCCACTCCTGGTGGTGTCACCCTATTCCTGGAGGTGTCGCCCCACTCCTGGCAATGTCACCAGTCCCTGGAAGTGTCACCCCGCTCCTGGCGGTGTCACCCCACACCTGGCGGTGTCACCCCACACCTGGCAGTGTCACCCTGTCCCTGGCGGTGTCACCCCGTCCCTGGAAGTGTCACCCCATCCCTGAAAACGTCACCCTACTCCTGGCGGTGTCACCCCATCCCTGGCGGTATCACCCCGTTCCTGGCAGTGTCACCCCACCCCTGGTGGTGTCACCCTATTCCTGGAGCTGTCGCCCCACCCCTGGCACTGTCACCCCGTTCCTGCAAGTGTCACCCCACTCCTGGCGGTGTCACCCTATTCCTGGAGGTGTCACCCCACTCCTGGCAGTGTCACCCCACCCCTGGCGGTGTCACCCCGCCCCTGGCGGTGTCCCAGGCCAGGCTGGACAGCACCCGAAGCCACCTGGCACAGCGCAAAGTGTCCCCATGGCAGGGAGGTGACACCGACGGGATTTGAGGTCCCTTCCCCCCCAAACCACTCTGGGATCCAGCTGTGACCGCCCCCCCCGGTCCCCCCACGTCCCCCAAAAACCCCGCGGGGTCACTCGGCGTGGGGGGTGGCCCTGTCCCCGCGCTGTCCCCTCGCTGCCGCTCTCGGTGTCCCCCGGGAGTCGCCGCTGACCTTTGGTGCGCTGCCATCACCCTGATGCGCTGTGACACCGCCGCCGTGTCCCCGCACCGCCACCGCGTCCCGGGAGGCGAGCTCGGGGAAGCGTGGCGGTGTCGCGATCGATGCCACCACCGCGGCCCCGATGAGGCTGCGAGGGAGAGGGGAGGACGCGTCCCCTCCCTGGGGACACTTTGGGGATGAGGGGGGGTCGGTGTCACCCCGCTGAGACGGGCACGGCGAGGGGGGAGTGGTGGGGACATCGTGGGGACACGGGGACAAAGAGAGGGTGATGGGACATGGGGACAGAGGGAGAGGGTGATGGGACACGGGGACAGAGGGAGAGGGTGATGGGACATGGGGACAAAGAGAGAGGGTGATGGGACATGGGGACATGAGGACACGGGGACAGAGGGAGAGGGTGATGGGACACGGGGACAAAGAGAGAGGGTGATGGGACATGGGGACATGGGGACACGGGGACAGAGGGAGAGGGTGATGGGACATGGGGACAGAGGGAGAGAGTGATGGGACATGGGGACACGGGGACAAAGGGAGAGGGTGATGGGACATGGGGACAAAGGGACACAGGGAGAAGGTGATGGGACATGGGGACAAAGGGAGAGGGTGATGGGACATGGGGACACGGGGACATGGGGACACGGGGAGAAGGTGATGGGACACGGGGACAAAGAGAGAGGGTGATGGGACATGGGGACAAAGAGAGAGGGTGATGGGACACAGGGACATGGGGACATGGGGACAAAGGGAGAGAGTGATGGGACATGGGGACAAGGGGACAAAGAGAGAGGGTGATGGGACACGGGGACACGGGGAGAGGGTGATGGGACACGGGGACATGGGAACATGCGGACACGGGGAGAAGGTGATGGGACATGGGGACATGGGAACATGGGGACACGGGGAGAGGGTGATGGGACATGGGGACACGGGGACAAAGAGAGAGGGTGATGGGACATGGGGACAAAGGGAGAGGGTGATGGGACACAGGGACACGGGGACACGGGGAGAGGGTGATGGGACACGGGGACATGGGAACATGCGGACACGGGGAGAAGGTGATGGGACATGGGGACACGGGGACTAAGAGGGTGATGGGACATGGGGACACGGGAACATGGGGACACGGGAACATGGGGACACGGGGATATGGGGACACAGGGACACGGGGAGAGGGTGGTGGGACATGGGGACACAGGGAGACGGTGATGGGACATGGGGACACAGGGACAAAGAGAGAGGGTGATGGGACATGGGGACACGGGGACACAGGGAGAGGGTGATGGGGACACAGGTAATGGGGATGTGGGGACATGGGGACAGGGCAGTGGGGACAGGGTGATGGGGACAAAGGGACGGGGTGATGGGGACATGGGGACACGGGGACAGGGTGATGGGGACACGGGGACATGGGGACAGGGTGATGAGGGTGATGGGGACACAGGGACAGAGTGATGGGATATGGGGACAGGGTGATGACAGTGATGGGGACACAGGGACAGGGTGATGGGACATGGGGTGATGGGGGTCATGGGGACATGGGAACAGGACAATGGGGTTCATGGAGATAATGGGCACATGGGGACACAGGGACAGGGTGATGGGGACAAGGTCCTGTCCCTTGTGCCTGTATGGGGGAACCCAGGACCCCAAGGGGGAGGTGACAGAGGTGGCTGTGGGCATGGGGACACGGGGACAGGGTTATGGAGGTGGCTGGGGACATGAGGGGGACACGGGGACAGGGTTATGGAGGTGGCTGGGGACATGAGGGGGACACGGGGACAGGGTTATGGAGGTGGCTGGGGACATGGGAGGGACACAGGGGTGTTGTCCCCATGTGCTGGCATCTTCCTGCCACAGGAGTGGTGGTGTCACCCAGCCCACAGGTGACACTTCCTGCTCCACAGCCCCTGGTCCCTGTGTCCCCTCTGGGGGTGGGAGGCGTGTCCCGGGATCGGGATGGGACCGTGCCCCAGGGCCATGGGACCAGCAGGTGCCACCGCCGGCTGGTGGCCTCAGGCAGGGACAGTCCCTCTGTCCCCACAGGCCGGGTGTTCAACGGCTCCGCCAAACCCATCGACAGCGGCCCCCCGGTGATGGCCGAGGACTTCCTGGACATCAACGGTGACGGCTCCGGCTTTGTGGGAATGCGGAAGGGGCTTGGGGGTGGCTGGGAGATGGGGGTGTCACCATGCCCTGTGGTGTCACCACATCCGTCTGTCCATCCGTCTGTCCATCAATCCATCCATCATCCATCATCCATCATCCATCCATCCATCCATCCATCTTCCATCATCCATCCATCCATCATCCATCC